ACAAGTACAAGTACATACTTCCTGGTACTTACAAGACTTAAACTTGAAAAGAGCCACTCTAGTTCTAGTTCGACACTCTTTTTAATTCAACTATTGGCCTCATGGGATAGCAAAGCATTCACTGGCTGCACATTTCAGAAGCTCAGTGGCTTGGCGGATGCAGAAGGTCATCCGGGTTCGCCTACTGTATCTTGAATACCAAGCAGTCTGACATCCTTCCCATTTGGCATACTGTTTATGCATACCGTGTAGCTGGGTTGTTCGCATATTCAGATGCAGAGCCAGTATTTGCGTTAGCTGTAAACATTCATTCCCTTCCTCAGCTCAGAACATACCTTGGATGAATCGTAAAATAGCCCAACAGTTGGTCCGTTCTTTCCCTTTACCTCTTCCAACCATCTGTTCCTATCTCTATCCCAAACCACACCTTTATGTCAGGCACGTCAAAAGTTAACTACAGATCTTTCTGCACAAGTCTGAGCTAGCACTAAAAATTAGTGTTTTATTTAAAACAGTAGAGTTGCTGGCAGACAACCCAGCCTTCCAGAGGAATGGAGGGTCTGGGGTGACCATGTGATAGTTAGACAGAAAGACACTGTGGGAGTTCTTTTGTCCATGTGTTAGAAACAGATGATGGATAGACAGTTCTGTCTTTTCGTTTGAAATATCTTTACCACTTTATAGCAGCCTGGGCATTTAAGTTCACCACAAGCTGATTTTGCAGGACCAAACACAAACACAAAAAAAATCTTTTGATGTTGATGACCAGATGTTGATGAAATGCAGTTTTCTGTCTCCTCACCCACAGTCTTTCAAAACCCTTTTGACTTTATTCTGTGGAGCACAAAAGGAGTTCATTTGTAGTATAGCATAGAATGAGAAATCAAAGCTTATACGTTTCTGGAGCTTGGCAGACCCTGCTCCTTTCACATCATTGCATGGATGATAGCAGGGTCTTGGTTAAACACATTGTTTGTTGATTGGATAGAGGCAGATCTGAATGTGAGCTTGCAGGCGATTGTAAGGAAGGGGCAGAGTTGGAGATGTCCGACAGAGAGAAGTCTCTTTTTTTTGTTGTTGGAAGACTAAGTTATGACATTTTTTATTTAATATCACAAGCTAAACATATGGTGAATTTCCATTGCTTTGTTTTGTGTTTCATGCAAAAAGTCA